TGGATTGCCTGGAAATAGATGAGGACACACAGTACAACAGTCTGAGAGAACAGTAAAAGCTGAAGGGGAAAAAAATAAAAACAGCTTGCACATCCATATCTGTTATTTTCATCTTGATATTTACAGGACGAAGTCAAAGTTTTGCCTCTTTAAAACATTTCACCATTTTTTGCACAGAAGTGCCTCAGGGCCTAAACTGAGCTTTGAAGAGAGCACACTATTCCCCAAAAATGTATCGGATGTTCAGTACTTCATAAATTTGCCTAAAATAACTGCTTGATTTCTAGTTATATACTATTAATGATGAATACAGGTGACTGATGCAGAAAGCAGGGACAGCCACTGTCTCCCTGGCAGTCACGGCCCCAGCAGCCAGCTCAAAGGGCCTGCCGGCCCGAGCAGGGCACAGACATCCAGTCCAGCCCTATCCAAGCTGTGGCTTTCCTGTAAGGCACAAGTTCTTCTTAGGGTTTGAAAGGAGTTCACTCACAGCCGCGAAGAGCTGAACTCAAGGCTCGCAAGCCTTGCCCAGCACATGACACTTCCCTGCAGTGCCTCTTGTTCCCCTTCCGCCTCGGGTGCCCCTGCTTGCAGCCACCCCTGTGCTCCGCAGCCCCAGGGCTAGCAGCACAGGAGGAACAGCCACCCAAATCAAGGGGAATGACTGGGGAAAGTCTGTGCTGCAAACGTGGGTAATGCAGAGACAAGCTAACTCTAGACGAGGTAGCTGAATGAGTACAAAGAGAAGTCAAGCCATGACAGCAGAGTTCGTTGTGGGTTAACGTGCTCTGCCATCCTGGTGGGCCAGATGTATGCTTATGAATATTAACTCTTAAAACTAGATCAAGAATGTAAACAGAGGACAGAACATTTTCATGGCCTGCTGTTCTCCTTTCCTTGCTCCCAGCATGGTACAGTATATACCACAATGCAGCTGCACAGCAAAAGAAAACAGGATAATTTTCATGCACTATATACAATGCATTCACAATTTCAGCATAGAGACTGCCTGCTTCTTTAATGCATACACATGCTCCCAGGGAGGCAGGCAGTTCTGCAGATAGGTCACAGGAGTCAGAAGAACAGAGCTCGATGCCTGGTACTAAGAACATTTCGAAAAGTCGCTTCATCCTGTTTCCTCTCCCAACTTCTTCTGCCTTATCTCATTATATATGCAATGTTTCTAACCCATTCACTACTGATTTGTTCTTCAGAACCTAAATATATAAACTTAAGTTCACCAAATTAAATATAAAACTAGAGGAAGTGGTTTCCAACATACCATGCCACCAAGAGTCTCTGCATGGAAGCTCTGTGGCTTTAGGTCTATACTGGTAAAACATTCTCAATATGTCAATATACTGATGTGAGTGAATACAGAATGACTAGCAAATGTATTTTCCATACGATGTAAACTAGTCCATTAGTCCAGAACCAATGTCTCCTGCCCTATCTGCAGTTATAATCAATATACCCCATCAACAACTCAGCCATCTGCTTATTATGTTTGTGAACGTCTAGGTGAATGGGTAATGACATGTTTGGTCCAAATCAGTAGCTAATTCTAGTCCAGAAACCATGTAACTATGTTAGTGTGCTGCTGATGTCCTCTAATTAGCATGTGTCCTGCTGGTGGCTTGGGTACAACACCATAACAAAACTGAACAGCTTCCAGTTTAGAACTGGCTTGTGTCTGGCCAGCCCAGGAAGTGAGCAGGACTGCTTGCAACTCTGTGCATACACAAACTCTCCATCTCAGTTGATTTTGAATGAAGTATTGGCACTGTGCAAAATGTGAAAAGCAGGCATTTGTTTCAAATGACTGAGAGGTCCCCAAGTGCAGGAATCTGGGGGATTTCAGAAAGCCTTAAGTGCACCACTAAAACCAAAACAAAACGATACTGTCCTAAACAGAACCTGCAGTGGGGTATCCATAAGAGGAAAACACCAGAGGCTGTACTCTAAAGTCTTCACTTGACTTTCTTCTACCTTAATATCTATCCTCTTTGCCAGAGCAATTCCCCTCATCCTTCATGCTACACATGAAATGAGCCAATATTACTAAGTTCTGCTACTTAAAAATTCAGTCTACCAGACTCTTTCCAAAGGGCTAGACCAATCCATGAAAAAGCTTTTCACAGAAAGTCAAAGCCATAGGATAAGCTATACTGATGCTGATGTCTCTGAAGAAAACCTAACACTTCCAGGTGGAAACCTTCACAGCTGTTGGGCATAGAGACTTCATAGCTTGGTTTTTGCGTGCCTGCCAAAGCTTGGTACTTTTAACTTCTGAAATAAAAAAAGTGACACCCAAAACTATCAAGCAATTACTGAGTTTCCTGAAGTAAAGGAAGTGGCTCAGAAGTGGGTGAAGGCTTTTGAAAGCTTTCGAATTGCTGATATTTTAGTGGAGGGTGGGGGACGAACCTGAATTAATGACCTAATGGGGAAAAAAAGTGCTTATCCTACAAGCATTTTTTTTTTCTAAATAGAAGTAAAGGTTTCTTTTCTGTGGTTGTTTGGGGGTGGTGGTGGTGGGGAGGGTGTTGCAGTTAGGGGGGTTTATTTGTTTTTCAATTTGGGGAAGGTTATTGGGTTGGGGGGATGTTTTGGGGGTTCTTTTGCATAAAGAAGGAATTGACGCATTGTATCAGGTATCTTAGCATAACTTTTTTGATTGGGAATTCAGCCTAGATATTAGAAAATGTATGTTATCAATCTTACACTAAAGATTTTAAGAAGCACGCCTCTGGCAACTACGGATTTTAGTAAAGATAGCTATTCTATGTAGGTAGAGGTGTTGTGCACTGACAAATAGCAAACAAAACACTGGTGAATTTAAAGGGGATGTTTCAACAGCGCAAAGGTTTACAAGGACAGATCAGACTCCAAGTTTGGTGTTTATTGGTACCGTATATTGGTATGTATAGGTACATCCACAAATATTACTCGTCTATTGCTTACCAGGGTAACTAGATGGATACATAACTTTTATTTACATATTCTAACTTGTTTGTTTGTTTTAATGTAATTTGATGCTCTTAAAAGTGGCTTGGTGATTACAGGAAATTAGAGACATTTTATAGACTTTCTGAGCTTGTGGTGGAAGTCAACCTTAAAAATTCTCCTGTCAGGTCTTCAAAATCATTAGGTGCAATAGGATCTTGAATAATAATAATAATAATAAAAATAATAATAATAATAATAATAACAAAAAAAGTCCCAAAGCCCACCCAACACTTACTAACAAGTGCCATAAAACCAAAGCCTACACCACCTTTTCTGAACATTGCTCCTCCATTAACAAACCTCTCCCTAGACTACCCAGCTGCCCAGAGCTACAAGGCAGAGCAATCTGCACAGCAAAGATGAAGCATAACGGTTCTGTCACCCTGACAGTAGAATCAATCTCTGTGTTAAACTACATGATGAAAACAAGGTCTGTGAGGTTGAGTATTTGATACTACAGTGGAAGACTATTAATCACTTTAAGTCTTCTAGAGAGGAGTTAGAACTTATCATTTCTTTTAGGGTCTTCTGTTTAGTAAAAGTACATAGAGAGGAACTGGCTCAAGCTAGACTACTGTGTGTGGACAGAGTAAATAACTATTACTTGAAATAAAATACTGCTATCCCTCTTTCTGTCTTCCAGCCCTCTCTGTTAGCTAACACATGGACTGACTGCAGAGGTGGCTGAAAGAGCAGACAGCAACCTGCCCTTTCCAGAGAAAAGGGAGCAGTGGGAAGTCTCAGAAAGACTTATAAAGTGGAAAGTAGGACAGCAGAAAAAAAAAGAGAGGAAAAACAAGAGATTTTGTTCTTTTCCTCTATAGTACAGCATTCACTTGTTTTTCTTATAATATCTAACAGCTACCAACCAGATTCATTCAGTACTGCCTCTCTTCAGACTTTGAAGGACAAGAGAACTAATGCCCAGGCTTCAAATGCCTGTCTTAGCTAAAGGCAGATCATTTTCTTGCTTACATCAGTATAAATCTGGAGTTACTATAGTGACATGATGATAGAAGCATGCATAAATAAATTCAATGTATGTGAAAAAGAGATTTCAGCCCTGCATATGATTTGCTGCCATTTCAGAATATGTTTCAAGCCACTTTTCAGGGTGAATGTTAGAGAAAATCTTTTGTGTCTGACATCAGCTCTCCCGAATTACATTAACTAGCTAAACTGATGGAACGTACATATACATAGAAAGCTGGATGTTCTTTTGAAGAAAATATTTTCTTAAACATAGATCCATTTTTGTCTTTATATAAAAGCATTACCTCAAAATTAATTGCCTTTCTTGCTACTCACATTATCTGTCACATCTAGCATGTTTTGCAAGATCAAACCCTTGGGCTCTTTTTTATTATAAAATTTTAAAAAGTTAAGCAACAAATTCACCTGCTGTGGAGTTACTAAACAATTAAAATTTTTAAACACTCTTTAAGAAACAGTTTTTATAAAATAAATCATTTATATTTTATAAAATTAATATAAGTAATTTCCTAACTGTAGAGATTAACTTACAATGTTTAGATATTTTACTAACTCCACTGCAGTAAAAATCAAAACTTGAGGAACTGTAAGCAGTTTCTGAGATCAGGGAGTGGCTAAAATGGATGGGAAGATTTTTTCTTGAAGGATTTAAACAAGAAAAACAAAGTATTTCATCATGAGATGAAACCAAACAGAAAGACTACGTTGAACAGGTTCACATAAGAGATCTAAATGTATTCTTTTTCAAGTACAACTACAATTTTTTTTTTTTAATGATTCATATAACTCTCACGTATGATCATGCGGAAGACATTTTAGCCTTGTATATTGCGCATCAGTCTTCCTGATCTAGGTTCTGACACCATTGCATGCAGTTGTATTCTAATTTCTGAACAAAGATGTTATTTCTCCACTTTGCAAAGCTTTTCATTTGTTTTACTGCTACAGAAGACATTCAGGTATCAAAATGAGAGAAAGAAATATCAATTGCTACCTACCTTTGACAAAGGCATCCTGTCTCAGAAATGCAACGCCAAATGCTAAGAGTTTAAGCCACAAAAACATGGTTATTTCTGGAAATCAGGCGTATCCTTATGAAACAGCATGTGTGTGTTTCTGGAAAGCAAAATAAATGTTATCTGTCTGCAAAAGAATTTCTCAGCAAAACTTGAACCAAAAAAGAGAATAACTAGGCACATACATTGCACTGCCTGCTTATCTGTGAAGGAGTCGCTTCCTCTGTTACCCCAAACTAACCACTCGCAAACTCACTACTCAGTTTAGTGATGTCAGAGACAATTACTTCTTAAAAAAAAATTCTTTCAGTTTCCAGGAAGTCAAGAGGGTTTTTCTTAAGTTGCTACAGTAATGCTCAGCTTCCTTAATTCAAATGAAACAGATTTTCAGCCATTTCTTTCTACTGAGGAGCTAAATGAGACTTAACTTTTCAAAGAACTGGATTTAACAAACAGTCACTCTTTCTCTTCATATTCACTTTTCTATTGCATATATTCACTGAGCCCTTTATGAATGCTTGAGATCTCCGTTGAGAGAAAGAGAAACCCAAACCACCAGTCAACAATACTAGCAACAAGGCCTTCATATGCATCCTCAAGTGAAGTGACTGCTAATTAAATGAAAACCCTTTAAACATGACATATATTTCTGACTCTTTCCACAAGCATGCAATTTTAGGTATGACAGTAATACACAGCAAATGGATATAGGCAGTCTAATTCTGTTTTCTGTAATGTTCCAATTCCTAATTAGATAGCTCCATGCAATTCCTTACCATGGCAGTGCCAAAGGATAGTGGTCCCTTTCCTGGAGTTGATGTAAGATACACCAAAGACATTTTCCCTCACTGCATGCACTGAGATAGTCCTCAACAACTTGATAACAAATGCCCATTATATAGTAGATTACAAAGGGAATAAATGTTGGGATTGCTTCTCTTATTGGAGATTTCAAAGGTTTTACAAGAACCAGCAGAATCCTGTCACAAGATAGATAAGGAAAGGAAGAGAATGTATTTGTGTTTATTCTTCATATCATAAGTCATTCACAGACTTCTTAAGCATCACACAGGAAAAAGTTGCAAATTCACATAATACTTCACAGAAGACATGAGTGAATCAAACTTCTTAAGATTAAACCCAGCTTCTACACATTCAACTTTGAGTCAAGTCTTATAACACAGGCCACAATCATAGCTTCCATAAAGCAGTATGTTCCTATGAACTCTCTGTAATAATAATTATATTGTAAACGTGTTCAGAACAAAACTGACATAGTGATATCACTCTGACACTCCAGAGACTTCATCTCTGATATGCAATAACTTCATCATCCTGGAGTTGTCATAAATTGAATTTGGACTACAGCCATACATTGTCTGCAGCACTGACATCTTAGTCCCCGTTATCCTAGACAAAACCAGGATAACAGAAGGGCTGAGGTGTGACATCTGGTGAATAGAGTGCATGATATATCATGGAGAATGTCATGTAAAGGCTCCCAACAAGAACCAGGTTCCATTTCTACCTGACCTTCTCCAGTGGTTTTATACAACCTCCACTCACTTTTTCATCAAGCTGTGTCCTCAAGACAAATTCCTGCACAGTGGACCTTTTCTGATTGTGTGATATTTACATAGCCTCCCTAGCACTTAAATACCGCAACATATCATATATATTATGGGGTCATAACATCACACACTCTACCCCTCATATCATTTGGGTAGAATATTATTACACTCATTTAACAATTGAGAAACCATAACTATCAACTGTTAAAATTAAATAAATGACCAAAATTACAAATGAAACTCGCAAAGGATTCGGAGACTCAAACCATATATCTTAAGTCTCAGTTAAGTGCTAAGAAGAAAACTCTCTCTTTCTGAGAGTATATCCTTCAGTCAGCAAATTGTTTCACTGACCATTTTCTGGCAATGAAATACTGCCCTGTAACTGAGAGAACAAACACCTTCATAGAAATTACATAGTGACTTTTATTTCAGATTAGTCTCAGATGTTTTAATATTCCATCTGCTCGCAGTGTTTTTGAAATACAAATCTCTGTAGTCTGTCTATTTGACATTTGTCTATATGGACAACTGAGAAAGAAATAAATTATATCATGGTACTAAAATACTGGCTTTTCAAAGACTGATTAAGAAGCCAGTATTTTTACTGAGAGATCCCATGTGCATTTAAGTCACTAAGTCCTCAAAACAGCTGTGGACCTGGCCTAATAAGGAGGAAGGAAATGTGTGACAAAAAGCAAACTCTCAAGATTTCTCCCATCATAATAAGCCTTTGAAAGCAGGTAATTACAGCTACATACACAAAGCTAGAAGTTACACAAAAGAAAGTTCAGATTTAAGCAAACAACATAGAATCAGTCAAAGAGAATCAGTACACTCTTCGTTCGTCACAAAAAAAGATGTTGCAGGATATAAAGTTTTGTGTATTGGAGGACTTCAGAACCGATGGGGCAATCTCAGCTCTACTAATTAACAAAGGAGGGCAGCTGAGTTCTTCTCATCCAGAGAGAAGGTTAGAAAATGGTAGTCATCGACTTGCTGAGTGGAAAACATGGTTCATAAAAGCAGTTGCTCCAGAAAAAGAAAGAGAAGATGGTTTGAAGGGGAAATTTCTACAGTGTAGGTCTGGCTGATGTCCAGGATATAAGCTCTTCTGTTTCACTCTTCTGTCAAGCAGAGATTGCTTGGTTTTGCTAGCTAAGATCACCACATTGTGAGCAAGCCTAAGAAGAGACTACAAAGTATAGAAATTTCAGTTCTAGTGTAGTTCAGACCTGTACTGAAAGTGCTACCATAAAGATGCTATAGTTGGATTTTACACTCATCACCTTATATTGAGCTCCATATCACATAGGTTCAGTCTGCTGCTTTCTATAAACTAATACATCATGGCTACACCAATGTATTTACACCCCATATATTATTTCCTAGTCATGGCTTACCCAGAGTTAATCACAAATGTGTTTAAGGCTATTAGAACACATTAAATCTTTTCCCAAACATAAACTGCAGCCTTCTTCCCAAGGATAAATCCAAAACCTCACTTTTGGGGGAGTGGAAGGGGATTAATTTACTCTACATGCAGATCAAGCTATTACAATAGATCCTTTCTCAGGACACAGCCTTAATTTTTAATCAGCCAAATGATTATGTCAGTATGTAACTACAACAGTACATTTCCCATGCACTGAAAAGAATCAAAGCCAGAACCATCAATTTGTACTATTAAGGATTTATAAAGTGACATAAAGAATTTGTAGATGCTGAAGTTACCCATCTTTTGGGAAGTCTCTCTCTTTTGTAAGTTATGAAAAGAGCCGAAATACCCAAAACAAACAAAACCAAAACCTGTAAGAAGAAAATCTTTTCTTGTCTGATTCAGTGATGTTGCAATACAGTAGATTAGTTAAATCACCATAAATGTCTCCACAGTCTGTGGAGTTAAACACCAGCTCAGAGGGCAATTATATCACAGCTGTAATAGAATTCTGAAAATACTAAGTGCCAATAACAGTTTTCTTTTCAATATACATCTGAAGCCTTTGGAAAAAGATCACAAATACCTGCCTCCCCCTACTTCATACCAAAAAAAAAAAAAATAAAGAATAGAAAAAAGAAAGGGAATTCAAGATAGGGAGAATTAAAGCAATATGCTTTTTCTCTGGATGAATTGCAAATATTGTTATGAAGCAATTCACATAATTTTATTTGAAAATACATTGAAACCATAATCATTAAGTCCTTAATGTTTTTAAGTGTTTTATGTCATAAATGTTTGTTATATGACACTGTGTCATTTGAAAATATTTCTATGCTGAAGTTACCATATATTTTCAGATAAATTAACCATCCCAGATCTAGTCTAAACATTGGAAAAAGAAAAAAAAAAATTGAAAGGCAAACAGCAAATGAAACAAACTCACAAGAAATAACAGAAACATAAATCAAGTTGCATTTCAGAACCAGCTATTATTTTACAGGAATATATGCAGGCTATATTCAGCTTCAACACTAAATACACCACAACTGGGTTTGATTGACAGTTGACAAAAAAGGTTTGGCTCTACTGTGAGAATGAAATTAAGTCTCAAAGGAACATACTATTACATTCTTTATATTCAGATGCTTAATCCTTGCAATAGTTTTCTGAAACAGATGATGTAAGGAAGGAGAAAAATCAAGTTATTCTCTGGAAAGATGCACTTAAAATTCCCACTGTTTTTTATTTACATTGATTTACATGACCCAGATGTCTCACACGAGAACAATAATTACTGAATAAGGAGATGATGATAAAGATATCAACCCTCATTCTCAATTCTCTTTCTCTCCCATCTCTGTAGTCCTTGGCTAGGTCTAAAAAAAATGCTCACAGCCTTTGATATGAGCCCTTAAATCAAGAGTCCCCCTCTGACAGGGAAACATAGAATGGTTTGGGTTGGAAGGGACCTTAAAGCTCATCCAGTCCCACCCCCCCTGCCATGGGCAGGGACACCTTCCACTAGACCAGGTTGCTCAAAGCCCCGTCCAACCTGGGGCTTGAACACTGCCAGGGAGGGGGCAGCCACAGCTGCTCAGGGCAACCTCATCCAGTGTCTCAACAACCTCACACTAAAGAATTTCTTCTTTGGATCTAATCTAAATCTACCCTCTTTCAGTTTAAAACCATGACCCCTCCTCCTATCCCTACACTCCTTGATAAAGAGTCACTCCCCATCCTTCCTATAGGTCCCCTTTAAGTACTGGAAGGCTGCTATAAGGTCTCCCTGGAGCCTTCTCTTCTCCAGGCTGAACAACCCCAACTCTCTCAGCCTGTCCTCACAGGGGAGGTGCTCCAGCCCCTTGATCATCCTCGTGGCCTCCTCTGGACCCCTCAAGCAGGTCCATGTCCTTCTGATGTTGGTGCCCCCAGAGCTGGACACAGGACTGCAGGAGGGGTCTCAGGAAAGTGGAGTAGAGGGGGGGGATCCCCTCCCTCGACCTGCTGGCCACACTTCTCTTGATGCAGCCCAGGACACGGTTGGCTTTTTGGGCTGCAAGTACACCTTGTTAGCTCATAGTCAGTTTTTCATCCACTACTACCTTCCAAGTCCTTCTCCACAGGGATGCTCTCAATCCAGTCATGGCCCAGCCTGTATTTCTGCATGGGATTTCCCCAACTCATGTGCAGGACCTTCTAACCACATCACCATTCTTGGCAGAGTGACTTGGGTTAGGTGGAAAAAGGAGTCTCAGCACAGAAGAACCTTTTAGTGCCAGCCCTAAGCTGTTTCCCTAAACAGAGGGAGGGAAACTCTTCCCAAGGCTGAGATTTAACCCTAGGTCTAGTCAGCTATCCCCCTGGTTAAGCCAGGAGGGAGGTCTGATTCTTTCACTCCTAATGCAACCGCAGAATCAGAGCAAGGAGTTGTGATCCCCAAAACACTACACACACCCATCCTCCTTCACAGTCTCTCATAACACATAAGGCAAAACTGCTGTACTTACTCAGTGACTGATCTTAGACAGTGCAAAAGCTCTGCCCAGATCCCAAACAATCTTAGAGCTTGTTGAGAAAGACCAAGGTCTCTAGTAGCCTCCACAGTTGCTGTCAACTTTCTACCAGGAGACTATTCTGTAGCTCTATTTTCTAGGTTGTGCCGCATAAAGGCATTAGATTACAGAGTGCACTAGGCATGGTGTGACCTTCAAACACTACTACACAAAGCATTTCACATTTTTTTGCTTCTGAAGGCATCATTACTTAGAAGTGATCCTGCTTGGTCAGGTCTTATCACACTGTGTAGGCAAAAAAAAAAAAAAAAAAAGAGAAAATTCAGCCAAACATGCTTGATTCTGTGGTTAAACAGATTTCTTTTCCCAGAGTATTTCACCGGCTTTCAAACAAAACCAAATGGACAGCCTGGGCTGTACCTGCTTGTGC